GTGTTATGAGACGCTAAGTTAATAATGTGGTCGTTGGGCATACAGTTCTAAATAAAATAGGTGAGTTAACTGATACAGTTATGTGTCTTCATTGACTTTGGTGGCTGTGATATGTGTTAAACACCGTCACCACCTATTCCAACACGTCATGTTAGGTGAAGTAGGATTAGATGAGGTAAAAGATGAAGGTAGTCAGACCAAGACATAGGAAGAATCATAAGACATCTCGCTGCTGGCATAAGTCAGGTAGGATAATGTATTTCTACTGGCCATTGGCAAGAAAGTAACTGCCACTATTGATCAAGTACTTTTTCTAAATGACTTCAATCAGAATGGATCACAGTAGCTTAGAGGTATTTGTACCCTGTTTCTGAATTCATAATGTACCATGTATCTTTACTCCACTTAAGTCGTTTTTGTTTCGTCTTATAGCATTTCGCAACAATAGATAATGTTATTTGTTTTCTCTGTTGTTAACTTCCTTCTGGCACTATCATGGTAGGTTTTGCTTATAATACTAGCCTTCTATTCCCACTATATATTATTATTATTATTATCTAACCCTTGGGTTCCTAATGGAAAATAGGGCTTCAGTAGCACGTCTCCATTCCACTCCGTTCTCTGCAATCTTTTGAACCTGTCACCACGACTGTCCATAAGCTCTCATTTCTTCCTCACATGATCTTCTCCATGTCACTCTCCGACACTCAACTCACCATTTCCCATCTAGTTTCCACTCGAGTGACTAGCCTGAGGCGTGATATCCCCAATCGGCCTTCTCAGTCAGTATATGCAGAATCCATTTCCACTTCCTTCCAATGCATATTTGTTGACCGATGGCTTTTTCGTTGGTTCGTCACCAGGCCAGAGTTCCTTGTTGCTTATTCTCATTATTCTGGCCATCTGATCTTCAGTAACGATCCAGAGTAGGCAGTTGTTGATGAATGTGTGTAGTTTGTTGGAAATCCCTTTCGTAACGCGCCAAGTCTCTGAGCCGTATAGAAGCACTGACTTGACTGAATTGGTTTTGAAAATCCGCATCTTGTTCACACTTCATGCTGAGTGCAGAAGATCTCCACACCGGTTTCAGACAAATGAACGCCTGTATTGCTTTTCCGATCGTGGTTTTGACATCCTCATCTGTGCCACCTGTAGTTGAGACGATGCTGCCTAGATAGGTGAAGGAGGCTACTTCCTTTAAGTTTCTCCCGTTGGTGGTGATTGGAGTTTGTTGTTGGTGGTGTTGTTGGTTGGGTAACTTCATCACCTCCGTCTTCTCTGTATTCACTTGAAGTCCCGTCTTCGCTGCCCTGCCTCTCCTGTCAACTTGTTAGTTTTCGCCTGTAGATCTTCAACTTTATGTGACATCAGGCACAAGTCATGGTTGGCGAAATCCAGATCTTCTAGGTTCTTTTCTGCAGTCCAGCGTATCCCCTCTTCACACAGCTCCTCACTGTTTTTGTTGCATGATCCAGTTCACCACAATCAGGAATATCATGGGTGATAGTAGGCAACCTTGTTTCACTCCTGTCTCCACTTCACTTCAAAAGCATCACTGAGCTTTCTATTGTGAATTACTCGGCATGTGGCGTCTTCATATAGTTGTTGAATGAGATTGATAAAGGTTTGCGGTATTCCGTAGTATTCTAGCAGTTTCCAAATTACCTCTCGGCCGACGCTGTCAAAGGCCTTCTCAAAATCGATAAAGTTGAGGTAGAGTTGCGTTGACTGCCATTCTATGCTCTCTTCTATGATGATGCAAAGTGTAGCTTTGCAATTTGATCCGCACATGATTTGTACTTCCTGAAATCAGCCAGCCAGCCTGTTCCGGTTGTAATTTTGAATCCAGCGCATCCTTTAGTCTCTCCAGGATGATGCGGCTTAATATTTTGCTTGCTTTGGGTGGGGAGGGACAGGAGCATGATTCCACGCCAGCTCTTGCAAACACTGAGCTCCCCCTTCTTCGCCAGTTTGATAAGGTAACCCTTCTTCCAATCCAATGGCAGGTACCTTCCCTTCCTTCCACACCTGCAATAGTGGTGAGAACATGTCCTCTGTTGTCTCTGTGTCTGCTTTCAGTGCTTGTGGCAGGATTCCACCTGGTCCTGCTGCTTTCCCGCATTTCACTAGCTTCATGGCACTCAGGACTTCCACTTCCACTTTGTTGGAGGATTTATGTTCACTTGTAGTTCAGCGGCTGCAGGTGGTATTTGTGGACGAAGTGCAGGAGGTGGTCGATTCAAGAGCTTCTTGAAGTGGTCAGTCCATCGTTCCCTTTGTTTCTCTTCTTTGATAACTAAATTTCCGTCATCATCTTTTATTGGTTTCATGTGTGTTGATCTCTTCCCAGACAGCAGGTAACCTGGTTATTTGATACAATGTTGTTAGGTCTCTCTTACCTGCTGCCTGCAGTCTGTTCTGCTTCACTTGCAAGTGTGTTGTGCAAGTGTCTTTCGTCTTTCCGTGCACTCTTCTTCACTTCTTTGTCCAGTGTTTTATAGGTTGTATTCAGTTCCGCTTTTCGTTGCTCGTCCCTGCGCTCCACTGGTTTATCTTCCCCTTAACCATCCTCATCTCCCTGCTCCATCAGCTTCCGTGTGTCCGTCAACATCCATTCCCTGTCTTGTCCTGTCTTGTCTTGTTTCTTCTTCCTTCCTAATACGGTTGTGCAGGTTTCTTTCCACATCTCTTTCAAAGACTTCCAGTGCTAATCCACACTGCATTTTTCCAAAAATGTTCCTCAATATTTCCCATTTCGTCTTGATGGCTGACTGACGTGAAGATTTTCTTTGTAGTTTCATCCTCCAGTTCAGTTTCTGTTCTGGGTGGGTGTTCAACTTGAACTGTGGTCTATCACCAGCTTCCTTGAATTCACGACTTTCAACTTGATTTGGAAGGTTAATTGAACTAGATAGTGGTCTGAGCCTACATCTGCTCCCCTTCTTGACCTTGTGTCAAGTAAGCTGCGTCCCCACTTTCTTGAGATTGAGATAAAGTTGATCTGATTTTCAGTGTAATGTGTCCTGGTGTCTGGTGAAATCTATGTCGCTTTGTGGATATCGTTGTGCTTGAACATACTGCCTAGCCTCCAATCACCAAGTCGTTGAATGCACAGAATTCTACAAACAATTCTCCATTCTCGTTCATCACCTCACTGAGCGCTTCTCGACCCATGGTTAGTTCTCTTCCTGTGTTGTCCGCTCCCAGTTTGGCATTCATGTCATCCCGCCCATTAGAATTTTGATATCGCCAACTGACGTCTTGTCCAGTGTTGATTGCATTTGTCTGTAGAATTCCTCCTTCTTCTCTTCATCTGCATTACTCGTAGGTGCACGGCGTAGCGTTGTATGGTTGTGACCTTCCTTCCTTTTGAGTTGAATCCATCTTGCTATCATGATCCTGATCCAGCAGGAGGAGATCGGTTCCCACTCTGTGAGGGCCTTTGATGCACTTGGAGACATCATGATAGCCACTCCAATACTCAGTGTGCTTGTAGTTGTCGTCTGCGTAACAATATTGGAGTAGATTATTGACTCTCCAGTTGACAGTTTGGAGTGTCCACTCCCATTCCATCTGATTTCGCGAATTCCTAGCACTTCTGTTTGATACCTTCTCATCTCGTTTGCAATCTGAACTGCCTTGCTGGGTTTAAACATGGTGCGGATATTCTTTGTCCCCATTGTCACTTTCGCTTTGATCGACTGGCTTCCCGAAGGCAGGCTTTCACCAACCGGCGTCATTTCGTCTCTTCGATTCCAGTGAGGAATAATTCTGTTTTTATTTTTTATATTTTGTTTGTGCTTTGAAGTTTCTTTAGCGGTTAGATTTGTTTTACGGGGTAGGGTTGCCAGCCCTATGCCAAACCTTCCCTCTTTGCCGGGGCTTAGGACCGGCCAGTAACTAGTGAACTATTCCCACTAAGACAACTAATTCCCTATTAGCCTATTTCCAATAATACCTATTTTTTCAGTAAAAGGTTTTGACGAAATTCAGTTGATCGTATTGGTTATGGTGTACAAGTTACCTCTACACACAATTTTTTTTGTGGAGGCAAAAGATACTTTATCTTTTACCTCCACACAAAGTTGTGTCTATAAATTATGCTGTGTCGACTGTGATGCCTATTATATTGGAGAATCATTACGTGAAATCCTCATTAGGACTAAAGAACATGCAAGCTACACAAAATGATAGCCAAATAACCCTGTAGAACTAGAGAATTTACAAATGAAGTCGGCGATCGCAGTTCACGCCATCTATCACAGTCATAAAATCGATATTGAAAGCATTAAAATTATTCAAAAGGGATTTTCAAACTACACGTATATATATAATATTATATATATATTATTACAGTGCAACTTCACCACTGAAGTAGAATGCAGTTCCATATAGACTTTTTCATGTGACACTGGAAATCACTTCCCATGATATCCAAAAATAACTGTCTAATAAGGAAGTAATGATCAAAATTTCTCCAGCTAGGATGTATGCTGAAAAACACTATCTCCAAAAATGTTAGATGTTCTTCCTCTCCATATTTTCTTGCTCAGCTCAGTCATCTTGGAAGAACAGACAATCTGAAATATCCAGATGTGGATTATTGTCAAATGAATCTGAATGGAGTACTTAGGAATAACCCAAAATTTTCATTTCCATGCTATTATCCAGAAATGTCTTACTATAAGCCACTTCCTTCTATGTAAGTTTGTATGGATGAGAGGTGTTTTGGTTGCTAGTAACCAACATTAGAAATGGAAGTCACTTTGAAGAATACTGACTACATTAAAAGTTGCATTCTGTTCTTTTTTGAATGATTTACTAGATTATACTGGAAATTCCGTTTTTGATTACCTTCGTTAAGTGTTTCGATCCTTTTTAGGCAGTCATAATTTCTCAGGTATAATCCAACACATTTTATTTTAAACACTACCTACTTATAAGTAGCTTATATTTACCTGCCAAAAAAACAAACTGGATATTTAAGCATTTAATTTTACCTGATTTATTCTTTTCAGGCTTTTCCAAATAAAAACTATTCTTTCAATAGTCTGCACATTTTCAGGTAGGGTGTTAATCCGAAGCAAGTGATTTAGATTGATATTCACTTCAATCTCTATCGACAGCTCACACTGCCAATCCACGTAACCAATGTAATCACGTGAAATATGTCTAGGATTTCTATCAATAGATCTGCGACTTTCCAACAAGTCAAGATCAGATTCACTTATTGGCAGAACCGGTAACTTTTGTCTCATGGTTACACATTTTGACCAGACTAATTCACTTAAATTCACTTTAATTCTTCCAGTAGGAGATGCTGTTAAGATGGTGCCGACTTTATCATTTTTCTGCTTTATCCTTTCCATTGAAAGTGTATCTGTTCGTAAATTCGGTTGAACTTCACCAATCTTGTCATCATCTGGTTCCGTACAGAATAGACTACCAACATTGTTCTGTTTGGTTTCAGTCTTTTTATTCACTGCTCGTACTCGATCGTACAGATCAATGACCATGGGTGTAGTCTGTATCAATTCACGAAGGTAGGATCTAGGAATATTATTGGTTAGAATGACCTGAAATAGATGTGACAGAAATTACAATAAATTTAAACGCAAAAGCGGCAAGGCAATCAAATAAGAACGATAACTTATACATGGCACGTTTAAAAAAATTTACGCGTAAGCTAATTAGTGAATGACTTTAAAGGTCATCCTAGCAACTGATGAAACAACCAATCAAGTTTCTCTATCCTATGAAAATATTGTCTTCCCAACCAAAACACCGCAACCTGATTGGTTATTTTGGCCGTTTTTAGGATGGCTTTTAAAATCGCTCCTAACTGATACTCATGGAGTATTTTCTTTCACTCATATTTCTCAGTACCTAAACGCTAAAACAATGAATGATATTTAGAATGCTGTCTTCGGTGGGGTTTAATTAGAAAGCTTGTCAATATCAAGGATGGCCTTGACTATCATGGAACAGGTGGCAAAAAGCACTAGAAAACAGCTGAAGCATTCTCAGTTGTTGTCATAACAACGCTGATGAGAAAGAATGTTACTTTGATTGGAACCTAACCTGGCATTCGTGCCCTAATTATTGTTCATAAATAAGTAATTGGCAAGAAGGTTTTAAGATTTTTGCATGTGAAACAAGTGGCTAAGTTTAAGATGTTCATAGATTTCAAGAAAGTATTCAGACAGAAAACAGTGTCAAGAAGATTAGACATTAATTAATTAGAGATCCAGCAAGCTAATACACTTCACACTAGCACATAGATGACAAAGAACTGACAAACAATAGAAATAACAATGTCATCATCAGTAAATAAACGTAAGGGTAAAAAGCCAATCAAACAAACGGACTGTAAAATGTTTTCAATGTGAAGAAAGTAGTGAAGATGCTGAAACTTCTACACTCTTTATACAAACTACTATCTATTTCATTACCTGCTTTCAATACTGACTTCAGATTTTAATTGAACCCATCCACTAACTTAAGGGATTACTAGTCAGAAACTTTGATAATTACTTTTATGTCTTGGCCTATTCATTACAGTGCTTCTCATAATCAGCTCTTGGTTTCCTAACTGTTCCTGAGTTCATTTTGGGGTTTGTGAAGATTTTATAATTGATTTCAGGCAGAAATTCATCATGGGCTGACATCATTTAGAGGAACATTGAAACCTAGGAGAACTGGGCAGCTGTTTTGCCCAAGTATGGGACACCTCAGCAGTGTGCACCCACCGCCCCACCAGGGATCGAACCCACGGCTTCCAGGTTCCATGGTCAACACGTTACTCCTTGAGCTACTGGGTTAAAATCCAGTGGCTTTCTGAGCAATACTCTATTGATCTAAGCACTTCATTTATCAGTGGCGGTATAAAATAATAGAAACTTGAGAACTGGAATGCACAAAAACTCAAGTTAGAAATCAGCTGGCACTATCTGATGAAGTCATAAATTTGGGTTCAAAACTTTAACACTACAGCTAAAATTATCACCTTAAACATTTTCAGAAGTATAACATAATCCTAAATACTTATTAATTTTGTTCCATTGATTACGCTCAAAATATGGTACCTCAAATGAGTGAGTCTTGTTCTTTTTAAGCAAAGAGGTCGGGTTTTTTCGTGCATTCATACAATTCAAGAAAGTGCAATCCAACTTTTGTATTGACGTTTATCTGCATACGTTCACATGTGAATAGAATTAAATAATTAAAACAGATTATACCGACCGTTCATCGTGAAACCTGAAAGTCGTGAGTTCGATCCCTAGACGGGTCGTAGTTGCGTACTGCTGAGGAGTCTCATACTAGGACGAAACAGCTGTCCAGTGTTCCCATATTTTCGATGGTTCCCCACTTGATGTCAGTCCATGATGAATACTGCCTCTAAATTATGTATGCTGATTTTTAAAATCCCCAAGTCACAAAGGGAGAAGAATATGTTCGGATGATTTAATACATAAAGAGTTAGAATACGTTCATAATTCATTGGGCTGTCCTAACTGTTTCATAAAAACACAAATGAAGAAAGTGAGAGGAAATAAACCTCAGTTGATTACCGTTGAAAAGAAACCGTTGTGTATGAAACTGAAATTTAATGGAGACATAGCCCGAGAAGTTTTATATCAGAGGCTATCGAGAGCCAGTAAGAGGACTTTCTACGTTGCATAACTCTGTCTATCATTTTCCAGCCAACCGATTGTTTTTGCTAAGACAAAAGATAAACTATCTAGTTTTGCCATTTCTAAGTTTAGCTGCTCACGTTGAGAGAGATATGCAGGGTATACTACTAGATAACTAAACGGACGTGTTGTTGAGCCTCTATCTTTATGGTTGGCGGAAAGAGACAGATGAAATATATCGGAAGTTCTGTTCTTTTTCCTTCTCATTGATAATGGTCACTTGAAGATAAGAAGAGTTCTTTCAAAGGTTTTTTCGAAAGGTATTCCAACTCGTCTTTTACTCACATCAGAATCTGTGGGAATTCAACTTAACAATCCTAGTCTTTCTATCCAGAAGAAGTTTGTACATCTTTTGTCTCTCGCTTGGCCAGGGAATACCTAATAAACCACTTTATCACTGGAATTTTTCCTAGCCCTTTCTAATTCTTCACCCTTTTCATATACTTGTTATATCTGTTTGAACCTTGTTTACTCACTTATTTCGTCCTTCAGTATTACACAACCCTCATTTAATGTTTTATATATGAGAAAATTTATATATATATTAGCGTTAAGCCAGATGAGAGTTAATTGAAAACAACATTGTTCGCTTATATGTCTTGTCCTTAAAACTATCTAAGAAAATTTAGGTTTGTAGATTGGTTTTGACTGTTTGTTGATTTGCTTGTAATTCTTCATTATTTCTCTACTGCACCGAATTGTTCGACCTCTACTGGTATATAGGCTCTTAAGCAGATGCCTCGATATTGACTGAATACTTATTATGCCAATTTACTTTGTTGTGGTCAGCAGAGAAGTCCAGAATGCTCATCTCCTCCTATTTAGGACTCATCAACTGGATTAGTTAAATGCCTAAGTGATAGGGTCAAAAGGCTTACTTGTAGACCAGAAAATCCACGACAAGAAATTAGATACATCAAAAATACCTTCTGTCTCAATAACTACCCACCTATATTTATAGGTAAATTCATAAGAAATCGAAAGAAAAATATTAGTAGTAGTAATACAGGTGTTATTAATAATAATTCTACTGCTAATGATAATAATAGTGAAAGGGTTGAGATAGAATTCAAAGCCTCTGCTGTGTTACCACACAAGGAAGGCATCTCAGAAGCATTACGAAGAATTCTCAATAAGGCTGGCTGGTATTTAAACCAACAAACTCGTGTGGAAACAAGCTTTGTAGGTTAAAAGATCCTATCGATGCAATTAAGCAAAATAATCTGGTTTACCAAATCCCTTGCAATGATTGCAAGGTCAAATACATAGGTCAAAGCAGTCGACCGGGTCGAATAAAATAACAGAGCACAAAACCTTGGCTAAATCAAGTAAATCCTAATAAGATAAGAAAGTTAGAAAAGAGCTCGGTTATAACTCTGCACTCAGTTACACTCAATCACACAGTGGGGTGGGATAGAGCAACAGCGTTAAAAACTTAGTTGAATGGAGGGAGAGAGACATTGATAACTGAATCTTTGTTTATCGAGTCAACACCAAATGCATGCAGTAATAGAAGTGATTCTGCACCTGTCCCAGATATATGGAACATTCTACTCCCCTTGTCATCACATAGAAGGAGAGAAAATTAGGAATATATAAAGTCTGTCTCGAAGTTGTGGAGTTACCTGATATGAATATGGACAATAAACTGTGTCCGAAACGATGTTATCCAGTAAATGATACTGTTCCTTCACTGTGACGTTTCTAATAAACACTTAAATGGAACTATAATCGACCACAGTGCCCAAGTTTTACTCCTATATTTATGATGATATCTCTCTATTCCATCATTCAACTAATCAACCCAAGCACTTTCGATTACTTTGTATATTTTTCATATCAGGTTATTTTAAGAATATGATATTAACATCGTGTCATTTGGTGTGATGTGTCGCTTAGTTGAGGCTAGATGTAAACAGTATCAGTTATACACATGTGTGACAAAATACAAATTTGATATCTATGCTAGAAATTTTATCTGTCACCCTAGCTTTTGAAAGTATTAAGGGTAAGGTATCAGTCGTAGATATTTAGTGTATCTTACTGGATTTCAATCTTTGCTACTATCTTTCAGTTGATCTGAACAATTAGGATCTAACTTTGCTAACTTTGCCCACGTATACCACTAAGGAGCTTGACACCGAACGAACGAAACGGCCCTTGGCTGTTTAGACCACAGCAGTCTAACTGGTGAAATCTACATACCAGCCTGAATAGTTTCTAACTACTCGATTTGCTCAGTATCATAATCTCTTTCTGTATTGATACTAGTTTACTAAATTTTCCAACAACCAGGATATAATTCTGTAGTTATCTATTAGTTAAGTGCAAAATCAATCATAATAGTGATAATAAGGAGACGAACAATGGCTGTCTATTTAGTAGTTTATCAAACGAACTTTTAAACTAAGCAAAATACATAAGTTCATACACAATACAAGTGTACTGATGAACTGACCTCAAAAGTACAATCACTAATTTATAGAAACTGATATACTTTAAGTTTTGGTTAGTGTAATGTGGATTAAAACTAATTTTCAGTCAGATCATCAGTGGTGAACTGGTTTCTCAGATTGTATCACATACACAGAGACTATGACTGCAGTCTTGACTCGCAATGGAGTTTAAAGAAACGGTATCTGAATTAGTCGTTTGATATTCGAATACTCAAGACATGAATAGTCACTATTAACTTTTTATGGCTCATTTCTATCACTGCTGCAGATTTAAACAACCTAATCTTTATCCCAACCACTCACGTTTGGATTTAAGCCAGGCAAACGACAAACAGTGAATATGTTAACCGATAAACAGGTAAATAACAATAATCTATAAAATTTACAACACAATTTATAGGTCCATCTGTAGTAAAGATATGTCGA